GGGTGACCCACAGAGGTCCCTTCCAACCCCAACCATGCTGTGATTCTGTGATTCTGTATCTGAACTTTGTTAATCATGCTTGCTTCCTCTGCCCCATGTCAGCAAACGGTTTGTAAAGCCACATGTTCTGGGGCATCCCATAGCCTCAGTGTTGGGGATAATTGCTGGAGAAAATGAATGTTGTTAATTTGGTTCCATGAAGACACTATCCAGCAAGTGGCAGAGCCCACAGTTCTCCAGCAAAAAGACAAGACATTGGTAGTAATTCTGCTCGCTCTTCTCCCCAGGGCACTGCAGCAAAACTGGGGCCTCTGCCTCGGATCCTGAGGGACGTCAACTCGGCACTCAGTAACCCGGCCTGCGTGCAGGTCTCCGTCACGGCCGATCACACTGCATCCACGCCCAGTGCTGGCAACAGCATCTCTGCGGGGCTACAGAAAATGGTGATAGAGAATGACTTATCTGGGTAAGAGCATAAAAGGCGGCCTGGCCACAGACCAGGGAAATACTCAGTGTTCATCTGCAGCCAAAACGTGGTCAGCTGCAGGGACAGGCAGGACAAGGCGTAGTGTGGAGTTGCCGTTGACTGGGCTTTCTGATGCAGAACTGGTGCTGGGTGTAGGTCAGCTCTGAATCTGGAGAAAGCAGTGGGCGGTGGTGCAAGCACCTGGCTCCGTCCTGGGTCCCCTGAGAGCCAAAGCTGGGGGTGTGCGCTGGGAAATCAAGAACTCGGCGGTTCTGGTCTCAGCTGTTGAGATGTGGCTGCAGAGGCAAAGTGTTTGTCCTGTGAGGACTTGAGGGCTGGTTTGTGCTGGCCTCAGAGTGATGGGCGTCCCCATGAGGTTCATTAGGTCTCTGAGTATGCGAGATTCGTAGGATTGGCCTTACCCATCTGTGTAAGACGTAGAGTATGTGCTGCATCCTCTGAGATCCAAATCTGGACATTTCTCTAACAGTTCCCAGGCTGTAGAGGCCTGACAGTCAATTCCAGTCTACTCTGTCCAGTTTTTATAATGCTGGGTGTTTTTAACGATGAACAGTGATTCACAGACACAGTGACCTAACGTACATTTTGCCCTAAATACATACGGACTTTCATTCGTGGGGAAGATGACTCTGTTGCAGACCTGTGATGCTTCTGTTTGTGGAAAATGAAAGGGAGCCCACGCATATTGAAAGACTGTGCTAGTAAAATAGTTTGTAAGTGGAAACAGCGTAATATTTAACAGTTTAATTAGGAATGAAAGGCAGCTATGGCACTGGACTTACTCTAATCAGAGCTTTCATCTCTAATGCTTCGCAGCGTGAGGTACAATTATTTAAATCTGGTGCTAGGAGGATCTCTGACAATACGCTTTCACCCAGATATTTGCTTACAATGCACCATCTTTGATCAGCGGTGTGTTCACGTTAAGCTACTGCAAAGCTCTTTCTTCCTATCCCAAAGAAATCAATATTGCATGGCTGTATGTTACAGCAGGAGGAGCGGGTGGATAACCTTCAGTTGCTAGGCTGTAGCTCTGCTGTTAGAGCTCTCCCTCTGACCCTTGGAGGCCCAGTGTGGAGCAGGCCCCCGTGGGGCTCCATGCCCTACAAATGGTGGCCAGCGGAGCTTCCTGCCCAGGAACGGAGCAGGGGACAGGCGGGTGGCAGCCGGCTGGAAGCAGAAAGGGCGACGCGTGCCGTCAGCGTGGCGAGCAGCGCAGCCGGGGCGGCAGAGCCCCACGCCGATTTCTGCTGAGTGATTTCGTTTTCCTGCTCTGGTGCAGCATTCACAACTCTTCCTTTTTGTTTTGTTTTCCTCTCCTCTTCCTTACGCACTGACTTCCCCGCAGTCTGATAGATTTCACACGGTTACCATCTCCAACCCCTGAAAACAAGGACTTGTTTTTTGTCACAAGGTCTGCTGGGGCCCAGCCCTCGCCTGCCCGAAGCTCCAGTTACTCAGAGGCCAATGAGCCCGACGTGCAGATGTCTAATGGCAGCAAGAGTTTGTCCATGGTGGACTTGCAGGACAATCGGCTCTTGGACAGTGGGGCCATCGCGCCTGGCGCGGCCGACTCCCTCAATGACAGTCAGTCGTCCCTCGGGCAGGTGCAGGGCGTGTGGACAGCACGGACTCAGCCGAACAGCGTGACGGGCATGGCCACCGTGCGCCGGGTGGGCCAGACCCCCACCACACCGAGCG